TATGCTTAATATGTTTCTCGTACTGCCACGGTAAACAATAAATTCCATAGTTTGAAATTGTCATTATTCGATCGTAAAATATGGTTAAGTGAGTGATATACATCATTTGTTACTTTACTCTGGGTATACATTTAGTGATAGTTGATGCATATCACAATTTGTTTTACCCAATAGTGTGTGTCAGTTTTCACAGTGATGACGTACTGTAAATGGGATACGTGTGTGTATTAATATGTCAACATTATACGATAGCTGTGTAAATTGCTACGATGCCCTAACATTTTTGGTTTGTATTTGTTAAATTATATTATTTCTAATTTCAGTTTGGCATTATACTCTTCTTGCTAGTGGATCTGTTTATCTCGGTTTAGTGCTGTAAAACAGCGTGAGAAAGTGAGCAGGTAACCAAGTCTCACTGGGTAGGAGGGTGAATAAAAAGTACTATAACTCTCATAGGAGTTTGTGAAAATGTTAAATTTGCTGCGTTTTCGTGCATTTTGAAAAGTGGTGTAATAATAATTAAGTAGTAAGAATTAGTAAATTGCCACTAGATTATACATATCAGTTGTTAGTATTGTATTAAGTATTAAAAAAACGTGTGGTCGTTTATTTCAATATCTGAATGTCTGTATTTGCCCATGATGTGAAAGGTTTTGTTGTTTTTTCTAAGATACAAAGACACATTCTCGACTTTTGTTACGCATAATAAAATATCGAAATATTCATCAGATTTACTGGTATTGACCTAAAACTTGTGTTGTAACGTTATTATGTGTATTGTTATATGTTTGTGTAGTTTTGTTTTTGTTTGCATGCTTGATTATTTTTTCATATAGTAAGAAAATGCTTTTCTAAATAGATCGTGAGGGGAAAAAAGGCTCTAATTTTAGAAAAATGAAATGATTTGCTGTCAAAATAAATATATTTAAAAGTATCTAAACTGACATTAAATGTTTTGCCAGAAATAAAATTTAAGATGCAACATACGAGATTGTGGGGTTTAACACGAAACTCAGTTGTTTGTTTACCATTCATATTACAGCCTATGTTATCAACAGCGTTAACTTTTTACTCTTATTTATTTTTAGCACATTCCAGGAAGCATCGCTATGGCAGTCGATAATGAACGACGTTGGATTATCCTAGGCATTCGTTCTGAGGAGTTCCAATGTAATAAAGAGGTGTTTCAGCCAGTTTTTAATGGGATTGACCTCTATCAAGACTGGTTTCAGAGAGTCCTCGATATATCTTGAAGTTCTCGTTTTCTGCTGGAAGGAACTCTTGCATTTTTTCAAGGTTTAAAAGAACTTCGTGGTTGAAATATAGAATTCAATATATTTTAATTTTATGATTTTATCCTAGTGAATATGTTCAAAATTAGTTGATTGTGTTTCATTCATAGTAACCTTTCTTTGTTTTATTTTCAAGGTAGTTTTTGGTATATATAAATGTATACATAATTTACATAAACAGTGCACATAAATACATAGCACATATAAAAGATTTATAAATATATTAAGATTTATCAGCATTAGCAATTATCTAGTTATTACAATTCTGAATATAAGTACAAACATAATAACTGAATCACTATAGATGCTAAATAAAGCGTATATCGGTGAGGCTTACATGTATAAAATGAATAAATAAATAAATAAATAATATGAAAGACGGTAAAATTTTCAAGAAATAAAAAAAAATTAGTTTCATGAAATTTTTTTTTACATTTGGCTAACTCTGAAGGCTAACTATGCCTGTGCCTAGTATTTTGAGTCTGTATTAGGATTCCTGAAAATTGTCGGAAAATAGAAAAATCCTTGACGTGCGAACTTTTATTGTCTTCGAGATTAATTTAGAATCCCAGTTATATTTTTTTAAGTATGTTATCATACAAGCTAAAACTTGTGAGCACTAATCGAGACGGATTTCATATAGTCCTCTGAATATTTCTTTTTCGAGCAGTGTACTAAACATCCCAACATATTTATGACAGTATATATATTTTCGCTCTCAGAAGAAATCCAATATAAATCTACGTAAAATTTCATTAGTTAAGCAATAGATAATATTCACAAGTTGAAACTGCTAAAAATTAATTTACCACTGTTAGAATAATTACACAAGGTATAAATTATGTAAGGTTCAGTGTGTATCAAGAGTTCTTTTTGATTCTATATTGAATTTTAATTCTTGAATTACAAGCCAATTTCAGTTGTCCAAAAAAAAATTAGTTTGAAAGTTCGGTAATTATTTTTGTAAACAATCTCCTTTTAAAAGCTTCAATTCGTAATCGAAAAATAAAGTTCTAAGTTAAATTACTGTAAACATTTTTACTTGTTGTTTTTCTTGGTGTCCATCTACCTCTAAAAGGAACTTTTTTTTTTTTTTTTTTTGAAGCGACTAAGATTATCTTTCCTTGGCGTGAGCCAATGCTTAGCGTGCCTGTTTGTGGAGCCAAAGGTCAGTGGTTTGCGTCCAGTTACCACCAAAAATAAAAAAGAATGCTCTTCACAATTTGGAGCCGCTGGTCTGACAAGTCGCCCAAGATTTGATGGTGGGTGGTGTTGAATAGCTACGTCCTGTCTAGCGTATTACTTTAAATCTTGAGACTGCTGGCACAGATAACCCTCATGTGTAGCAGTGCACGAAATCTAACAAAATGCATTAAATCATCTTTCGGGTATATCGTCTTTTCCTTCGAATATCGTTCAATCCAACACTGTATAGCTGTAGACCAAACACGTTTTACAGAAAAAACCAATTATAGTCTAGTGATGTTTGAGTGTTTTTGCAGTGTTTCTAATTCACTCGGCTAGGCTTGATGATTATTTTTAACTTTTTTTTTTTTTTTAATTCAATCAAGAAATGCTTGTGATAGGCTAGAAACTGGTTCGAACTGGGAGAAAAATTAAAATGAAACTAAACATTAAAGACCTAATTATCTATAACTTTTCATTAAAAAGAAAACTACTGAAATAATAGTAAAACCTATCAAACTATTTTATTTCAATTACTACTTGTTCTATAATTTTAAATCAACATTTTGGTTGTCACATAATAAATTAAGTATAAGTAAAATTAAACATTCAAAGGTTCCGAGGAGCAGTTAGTGTCCCAAACTCATATACCACAAGAAAAATTTGGCTTTGAAACATAATTGTCCGTGACCTGTGTCACACGCTCCATAACTAAAAGTCGGTTGTGACCCACCGGTTTAGTACATGACAGCCAACGTGTTAATTAACAACATGCTATTATTTCTTATGTTACTACAGACAAGTTGTAAACTACTGGTTTCCAAAGTCTGTTAAAGCTTGCTCATTAATTGAATTAACCTTTCATAATAAACTTGATCCTAGCACTGTTTGCTTGCTAATTAACAAACATTTGAATATTCAAATGGGAAAACATTCTACTGAAAATGCCATACAAATAATAATAATAATAAATTTATCCATCCAGTGTATATGAGGTATGCTACTCAATAATTACAGGATGATTTCAGCTTGACCAAGAATGTGGTGCACAATTTGTTTTTGAAACCCATATTTTCCCCCTTAATATTTCTAACTGTTAATAGCCAGAGAATGCATATTTTTCTGAATGTAATTCGTTATTCTATAAACATTTCAGCAAAATCCAAACTGTCTTTTTAAACAACTGACCCTGTCTAGAAATCATTTTGTTTGGTAATGACTAAACCTGTCTATACTAATACACCGTTTTTGTGTAGAATAATAGTTTAAATTACAAACGGTTAATAACACTTTGCAGGTACTGAGATGTCTCCGTTGTACCATAATGAACACAGATATATTCGAACAACCGTAAATACTCAACCATCCGACAACGCAGTGTCGCTAAACCAAAACAATGCCATTTTTCTTCATATGGGAGATTCTGGCCATCAAATCGATTGGAAATCAACAAGAATTTTATACACAACTGATAACTGTATAGAAAGAAGAATCGTCGAAAGTTGTTTAATCAAAGACTGCCTAATTTCAACACCTCCCAAGGTCACTTTAAACTTAACTTTCTGACCTCTTGTGTTCTTAAGAGAATTCCAAGATCAAGGAGTTACTTTCACAAACTGGATGGAGCCTTGGTGAGCCCTTGTGTTAGAGATATTGAGAATAGGTCTTCATATCCTCCCCCATATTAGTGAAAGAACGAGAGTCAAATTTTAAGAACTGCTTATGATTTAAAAGCAAGATAACAAGTGACGAAGAATTAAAGCTTGGTTTAGTAAACATTACGAAGACTCCAAATTAACTTATTCTAAGATATTGTTACGTCTCCGTTTGTTAATTAACTTTCCGTAACTTCGTT